AGGCGCTGCAGGACATGGCGCGGCCGCTCAAGCAGTGGCTCTACAAGCACCGCGACAACCCCTACCCCACCAAGACCGAGAAGATCCTGCTGGCCCTCGGCTCCCAGATGACCCTGGTGCAGGTAAGAGAACCCCCTACCCGCACCTACGGCGGGCTGTTTCAGGGACGGGAGGGACAGGGACAACATCAGCCGAAGCCTCCTGTGAGCTGAGCAAGGGGCAGCGCTGGGCATCAGGGGAGGCATCAGTGCAGCCAGCAAGACCAGGGTCATCCTTCCCTCTGCCCTCCCCAGGGCTTCCTCTCAGCAGGACTATATACCTGAAACAGGAATTCCCACACCTGGGCTATCCTGGCCCGGTAAGTGCTAAAGGCAGTCGTCGGCAAAAGGTGTGTGCTTTCCCTGCTAGGAAAAGAGGCCCTCATCCTTTAATGTCATTCATAAATACAGAGGAAATATTTTTGCTTAGTCTTTAAAAATCTTCAGGTGAAAAAAAGATCGGTAAAAGGAGATTTCAGCACAGAATAGGAATTGTTGAGGGAGTTGTAGGGAGCTACTCTTTTCCCTTCTGAAAACGAGCTAGAACAGAAACAGTTATGTTGTCTGATAATGATCATCACCTCTTGCACAGACATTAGTGCTGCCGTACACAGTGAGTGCACTGGCTCAGCACGCAGTGACTGTGCTTCACAGTCTTGCAGGAATTATCATTATAGTGTAATTAGACAGGGGGAGTAATTGTTTTGCGCTCAGGTAAAACTCCCCTGAAACGACTGGCAGTTGTGTTGCAGTAAGAGGTATAAAGTTGGCTGCAAACGTTTATAAATCTTACTTCTTTGTTCTCTTTGCCATCTGGCACTCTGTTGAAATACGTGGTTAAATGTTATCGGTTGCTGAGTGGTGCTATCTCAGGTCTGGATGCTGCAAAGATTTATGTGTTGTGAATAATCTGATTTCCTTACTGGGAGCTACTGCGAGGTGTGTGAAATGAAACAGATGTGTTTCCAGGATCGGGTCCTCAGCGCTCTGCCCGATGATTTATGTGTCACTTTGCTAAGGACACGAGGATAGCAAACCAATATGAAGTATTAGGAAAATAAAAGGTGATAATTTAGCATTATTATTTGAAGTGCTACTTCAAAAAAGCCTGTGCTCTGAACTGATCCTAGTTAATGGCAAAATGGGAAGCTTTTACACTTTAGTACCTCACTGTGAAACTATTGCACTAGAAAAAACACTATAGCTTTGACAAAAATAGTATTAACATCTCAGAAAATGTCAGTTATAACTGGAAGATATACTTAAAACAACTTCTCTTGCTTTTAAAAAATACACATGAAAGATTTGCTCAGACTTTTAAAAATACGATTGCATAAATACTATCCATTCAATGCTGCAATTCAATAGGAGTAGTTTATTGGACTATGGCTTTTAGAATATTCTGTATTTTTACATGAGATTTAAAACATACCTCCAGAATACATGTTGGGAGACTTTCACATTAAAGACGTCTTGAGGAGTTCTGTTCTTTTATAAATGCCTCAGAATGAACAGAGAAGAGAAAAAAACTGGGTTTTTACAGTATTTCTCTCGTGGCAGCTTTGATCAATCCTGCTGGGGATATGCTGTGTTAGCCTCTATAAAAGCATCAAGTGAGCCATGGCCACTACTCCATAGAGTTTTATGATCTACATAAGGTGTAGAATAAAATGAAAAAGAATCATGGAGGGCTACATTTATCTCCGTTAGACCCCCATGACTCCAGTGGATTTACACTGAAGCTGAATTTGACCAGCTTCACTTCAATGAACTGTAATATTTGAAAGAGCCGTGCAAACCAGCACATCTATCTTCATTTACAGAAGCACACCATCAAAAAGAAACCTCAGATGTTTCTTCCATCATTTGGGTGCAATGCTCTTTTAATCCAGCAATACGATAGCATCTGTACGAGAGGTAAATACGTACATCTGGCACCAGCAGTAACTCCTCAACCTAGAAGAACAAAATACCACACGCCCCACAGCTACTTTTCAGGTGCCCAGAAAGAGCAAGACTGTAATCCAGATCAAAATTCTTGTTCTCTGAGAGAGAGACAAAGCGCCAGGCTGTGATCGCAGTCACACTAGGTACATGTGAAATAGCTTCCCTGAAGGCTGTGCTGTTTCAGCTGAGTGGTATAACCAAGAGCAGGATCAGGACTAGGCTTCGGTATCTGTTGGAAAGCTTTGCTTTTGTTCCAGAGGGGCACTTTGCAAAAGCATCAACCAGGGTCTCTTGTGATTGCTTTTCTAATCTAGTACCCTCAGAGATCGTTGGAGAACCAGGAATCAGTGTATGATGCTTTTTCCGTGTTTCATGCCCTCACGTTCCCTGACCTGTCTCATATTTCCTTCTCTTCTTCCATTTCGCGGTGCTGTCTCGCGGCGTTTGCTCTGGGTGGGACCGTACGCTTGCCTCCACAGCTTCCAACTCTTGTGGAGGCTGTTGTCTGCTGACAGCTACTACCTCGTCCCAGCATCCCTCGTGTGTTGACGCCTTGTTGTTGGGAGCCCTAGGGAAGGCAAAAGATACTGTTGAAAATCTCTTTGAGTTTCTGCCAAAATACTGTTTAGGGAGTGAATGGTTGGGGTTTTTTGTTTTTCACCTGACTACCGACCTTGGAAAAGGTCTTCAGCAGCCGCCTGAAAGATGATGTTGGTCACAGTAATATCAGTAATGTGGCCATAACTCTTCTTCATGTGCTTTTCTTTCATCTAATGAATCTTATTCCAGTATATACCATCTATCCAAAGGAGCTTTTGCAGGACTATGGCCTATACAAAACTGATCTTTCTGTGAGACAAGGAGGTGAACACCCAGCCCTGTTTTCTACTATTGTTATTAGGACAGAATCTGCATGTCAGATCTTCCACAATTTTATTTTCATTAGTTTTACTATCACCCAGTTGGTTGGTTTTAAATTAATTTATTCTACCTCACTATTACTTTGACTTATCCCCCTGTTCCTGGGTGCAGTGGGATGGCAAGGGGGCTGTTCCAGCTGCATATCTGCATACTGCAGAAGGAAAGTCAAACTCTTTCAAGGAGGTAGGATTTCACAGGAATCATAAATCATCTTGTTTCTTAATAAGTAGTAGCAAAACCTGGGGCAAGTTCTGGGCTGACTTATTCCTGAGCAGGCCAACAAGGTCTTCGGGAGTCCTCAAGGCAAATGTTATTGCAGTTTTCAATCCAACAGTCCAACATTTTCTACTTCCCCAACTGCCAAAGCAGGAAACCAAAAAAGCAATAGTTTGAAAAGGCATTTTATGTTTTACTCCAATTAGATTCCAATTCAGAATCCAATATTTTTTCCTATTAATATGCTATTAATATGCTACATTTTCATTTGTATTATTACCACAATGCTTGATTTATTTTATTTTAAATTTTGGTTTAGATGTTCTTGTGAAATAAAAAAGAAAAATGGCTGTATATTCCTTCCAGAAAGAAATATGAATGGCCATATTGTTGAAGAAAAGTTTTTTGCAATACTAGGATTAGTATATTGGTCATGTGCTGCTATGGATTTAATAGTATTCATATTCATAAAGGCATATCTGGATTACTGCAGAAGGAGAATCGCTTGATTTCTGTTCTCTTTCTGAAACTTTGGCCACTCTTAAGCAGTGAAGCAGAACAAATTACAATAAAATTGAGGAGTTTCTTCAGAAGCAGAGCCAGAGGGTCAATATTTCATGATGCTGATATAAGTACCTGATGCTCTTTGGGAATGACTGAGCTGCTGTAAAATACGAATGCTGGAAAGCACATCTATTATCATCCTCCTTGGGTTTTGCCTTTTTACTTCTTGAAGAACTACATGAGTGTTACTTTACAAGAATAGTGAGTTTCAACATGCATTTTTTCAAGATACTTAGTTCTTCAGGAGGTTTCTGAGACAAAGATTTTCCCATTGGCTTGTATTTAAATCGTTGTTTGGGCTTTTTAAATTATCTTTGGAGGTCACAGTAGTGTAACTTGGGGCCGTGGTAAAGGATGGCTGGCTTTTGGCAGCTTAGGTTGTTTCTTTTTGTAAGAGTTTAAGTAAGCGTGGTGCAAACAGGCCCTTGTAATGAGTGGGACCTACAGCTGTAGGCATGCGACTTTTTAAAGACCGCATGGATACACAAGGTAACATTTGAGGCTGGTTGAAATTAGTGACCAAACTATCCTTGGCTTTAAAGGAGCCAGGAACAGCCTGTAATAACCCAGGCAGTGGCTGGAGTTCAGGGTGAGCGTGCTGTCTGGTACAGCCTGTGGCCATGCAGCCTCTTCCAGTCCATGCACCTGGAGGTTGTCCAGGACAGAAGAGAGGGAGAGATGTTGACTTTCTTGATGCCTTAGAGATTGGGATTTTACAGCACCATGCACCAGTGCCCGAGAGCAGGAAAGCACCCCAAGATACCACACCAGAGATCTAGCCTAAAAATCTCATAAGCCTTCAGCTTTCACAAGCCTTGTAGTAATTGCAGTTGGGTCATTTCAGGAGTGAGAGTTCACTCGTTTGTGCTTTAGCAGAAAGCTCCTCTTGTAAATGCTGACTTAAGGTTCTTTCATAATGATCAAACACTACTATTTCCTCCTCTCATAGCAGAAGACTTAAAATATGACTCATCTTTTCATATTGATATGCAGAAAGCGAAGCTTTGGCATGGGAAGAATGAGCCCGAAATAAACCAAGAGTACCACGCAAAAACCACTCCTGCTAAATTTAATCGCTTTTATGTATGAGTCACACTAATACTACCTTATCTTTCTCTTCTGTATATGGCACTTCACTGATGAAATATTTCGATATGTAATGAAATGGAGCATCACGAACCTCTTTCTAGCAAGGTGTTGGAAAGCTGTCAGTTTCGTAAGATGCTGCAGTAACTCCTATAATATTCAGTGGGACTCTGGATTGATCCATCTCTATCATTACATACTTGATTTCAGAGTTACAGTAAATCATGCAGCAGCCAGGTGGCTGCTGCTGCAGCTGAGCAGGCTGATGTGAGTTTGTTAACGGCATTAGAAAGTGGATGGGTGCCAGCCCACCCTTTCTGGTTCGCTATAATGATTGCTGCGTCAATATGATGAATATACACAAGTGGCCTTGGAAGAGAATGAAAATTACTTACTCTTCTCTGCCAGCTACAGTTTCGGTCTTCTAAGCTGTCACAGTGAACTACACGGTTTGTAAAGTTATGTGTTTGGCTTCTGAACGCTGATCTAGGGCTCACTATATTTTCAGTGGAACCCTGTTTCATGTAAACGTGATTTTAAGTAAAATCAAAGTGACAGGCTCAAGGTGCCACTGCTAAGTTCTAGGTCAGACTCTGAACCGAAGTTTTGTTTTTCCTTTAAGCAGATAGTGTTTGTTTTTCTTGCAATCACCCTAGAAGAGATTATCAGTTCAGAATAATTAGCTAAATACCATGCAATTTCTACAACCTTAGCTACAAAACTAGGGCCAAAATCCAGCACTGAGGTCTGCAGTTTGGCTCTCTAGTAGGTGGGGTAGCATGTATTGATAACAGATGTGTTAACTTGCTTTGCAGGTTAACGTAAATTAAATGGTATGATTGTTCCCGGGTCAAAATATTACTGGAGTAGTCTCGGTTTCCTCTGTGTGCACTTTCACAACACAAAGATGTGAGTAGGGCTATGGACTCTCCCGACATTCTTTACATTCTCCTTTGCAAGTAAAGCTACTCTGCCGCCTTCTTGCAGAGGTCATGTCAAAATACACTTACTCCTGCAAGGAGTATATAGCATTTTTAAGACCTGATTTATCATTAAACAAATATTGTTAGAGTGTAGATAGCTTGCCTCTGCTCTTGCTCGTAGTAAGGTTATGGGTAAGGTCACTCTGTCAGTATCAGTATTTCCTATTTTATGTATTTTTAAGTTACAGTAGAATCAAGGCCAGCGTTTTCTCAGGTATGCTTTCATGCAAAGTCACTGCAAGTACACGAATCCCATTTGGTGGTTTGATGAGCACTGCTGGCACAGAAGACTAGACCATGTCCTTTTGCTCCTTTGGTACCTAAAGCACTGTGAAATCCTTGCATTTGAGCCTGACTTTGCGGTGACCCTGTATTCTAGAAGGATACTGATACGTATCCGTTTTGCAATGTCAAACTAGAAAACGCTCTGCAGCTGAGAAGAATGAAGACAAGCCAGTCACTTGTCCCTGTGTGAAGAATCTGCATCTTCACTGCTCCTTAGGGTTTTCACAACAGAAAAAGTTCATAAAAGCCGCTGCTCTGAAGAGCAAATAGTTGATTTCTGCAGTGACTCAAAGCAGGTTATATTCTGTGTAAGACTTTCCTGATACCCACCAGCTGTCAGAGTACTGATAAGGCATGAGGGAGAATTTGGGCTTTTATATAACCAAATTCAGAACAGGCTTTGCTGTTCAACAGCCTTGTTTTAGCCGGTGTAAAGGTCAAAGCCAAATTACGTAACATTAGCTATTAGTTTTTGTTTAGGATGTTAGTAATATAGCGAAGATTCGTATTGACAGTTCAGGGCGTTATCTTTAAAAAAAGAGAAAGTTGGATATAAAATTAGGATCACCTTAATTAAAACCTTGTTAATAAGGAGAGTTTGCTAACACTTGGGAAGTGTGGAAAGCCCGAACCTGCCTGTTTGTCTGAGGTTCCTGCTCTGCTCAGTGATAGTTTCAGGGACTCCAGTTCATGTTTCCCTTGTTTGCTGTTTTATTAGGACATACATAAACCTCATCAAAACTATATAGGTTAGATTTGTTTCTATGCATCATTTTCAAGGGAAACTAATCCATTCATGTGTATGCAGGTATCAAACTGGTTTGCCAATGCAAGACGTCGCCTGAAGAATACTGTAAGGCAACCAGATCTTAGCTGGGCTTTGCGAATAAAGCTGTACAACAAATATGTTCAAGGAAATGCTGAACGACTCAGCGTGAGCAGCGATGACTCATGCTCTGAAGGTTTGTTGATGCTCTTTTTATCTATTTTTAATTTTATCAATTTTAAATTTAATAAATTTAGAAAGTATCAGGTACCCTAAGTTGGCTCTGATTTCTCACAAAACACCCTGAGTGGATCCGCCTTTACTTTTTGTGAATTAGGTGCCATTTTTGGCTCCCAACTACTATGCAGCCTTGCAAAGCGGGAGTGTGTAAGTTAATCAGGGTGGCAGTCTGGTTGCGTGTTATTTGCCTGTTGCGTATCACATTGTTACTAGAAGCATAATTGTTAGTTCATTAAATTCTACAAGCCTATTTCTTTAATCTGCATGAAAGGAAGAAATTGATTACATTTGTTGGTTTAAGGAAATGAGAAATCTCTTGACTGTTACTTTCCTTGATGGAAGGGCGATAACAATATCACATAATTAACAAGAGAATCTCATTAACCAGAGAATCTGATTAACTTCAGTGGGTCTTATTATATGATAAACTGAATATTACTGTCATTTATTTTATGTATTTTAGCAGCAAAAATTTTCCGTATAAGGTGCACAGAAATTCTCTTACTTACTCAGATCAACAAATGCAGTAATTTTTAAAATAGGACTCTGTATTTTTAATATAACATTTATAATAATTATGTCTATGGGTACTTTTTTTAGTCAGTTGTGACATGGAGATACATTGACAGGAATAAATGCTATAGAACATTGTCAGAAATCTGTATGTGAATTTTTAGAAGAATATGTTACAATTTGTACTCACTTTCAATTCTCTTGGTTTCAATTTCAGTTTGTACTCACATTTCTTTGATATGCACTTCCCTTTTAAAGATTAGTTGCAGGACAATTAGAGTACAGTTTAAGGAAATACACTTAAATATGCTGTAGTATTAAGGAGAATCCAATTTCAAGTGATGATAGCAAGAATTTATGTTATTCGTCCAGGTTTTGAAATGTTTATCATTGATTTAGGGCACTTCTCAGTTTTTTTCTGCCTGCTTTATGTTGCTCATGAACAAATTAGACTCAGAGATTGTTTTCTACGTTTAGTTAGTTTGCAATAGCTGGAACATCTGAGAACCCTGGGAACTACTGTGAGCAATGTGTGAACAGAAGAAAATGAAAATCATTGTCTAATGGGGAAGTCTAAAGTTATTGTCTAGCTTTAGTTTTATTTATAGCAGTTTAAAACATGTAGAGAAACCCTTTTGTTAGATATTATATGTATTACTGTATCCTTGTTCTTTTGTTTTCAGATGGAGAAAATCCTCCAAGAAACCATATGAATGAAGGGGGATATAACAAACCAGTTCATCACACTGTGATTAAAACTGAAAGTTCAGTAATAAAAACAGGAGTGAGACCAGAAACAAGTGCCAATGAGGATTACGTGTCACCCCCCAAATACAAAAGCAGCTTATTGAATCGTTACCTAAATGACTCATTGAGACACGTCATGGCTACTAACGCAGCTATGATGGAAAAAACAAGGCAAAGGAATCACTCTGGTTCATTTAGTTCCAATGAATTTGAGGAAGAATTGGTGTCTCCGTCATCGTCAGAGACAGAAGGCAATTTTGTCTACCGGACAGGTAAGGGATTCTTTCAGCATCATTTCTAATGCAGCCAGCTTTGGTCGATGGTGTCACCTGGAATGAGCGTCATCTGATAGTGCCTTTTATGAGAGTAGATCACTCCTCTTCATCCTCTTGTATGAGAGTGGGTAACTCCTGTCCACCCTCTCATTCACTGTAGCAGTTCTATCAGCAGTATGAAAGTTAAACTCTGTTACTGACCTCTAGTGAAGCTGGTTTGCTTTTTGAATTGGGTTGTGGGGCTGATTTTTGAAACGACACTTGGAGGCTGTTTTTGTCAGCACTAAGACGAGCCTAAAGAAGGAGAAAACTCTGGAGCATTCTGTTACAGTAAGGGAGGACTAGAGGAGGACTAAAGTATGTCCTCACCCGGGAGTAAGAGGAGGGCTTTGACATTTCAGGGTGGCTGTTTGTGGCACTTACATGAGCCATATGCCCTCAATGGAATGCACATGAGCGCCTTCCTCTATCCTACAGCGTCTCTTCTGTCCTCAGAGTGCCTTCTCCAGTGCGTGGCCCTTGGTGCTCATGCATCTCTTAGGAATGCACGGATTAGTTTAAACCAATTTCTGCATCACTCTCCAGACACAGTGCTCTGAACTAAGGGGCTGCAGACTTGGCCATTAAGTATCCTGACTTAATGTTTTTTTTGAAGGGCTACACATAATTTATTATTTTAATCTTATCAATAAAAACATAAAAGCATAATTTATATCATCTGTTGTGTTACCAGTCAGAGGAAGGCACACAGGACTGCCTGGTTCATGCCAGTAAATTGCTGTAAATCAGGTCAAGATCAGGACCTGCTCAGGGAGTGCTGGAAGGCTCCTCATGTGAAGCTTGCTCTGTATTTCTTTGGGCACATAAGGCAAAGGCTGTTCCCTCATCTTTGAAAAAAGTGGAGTTTTGCATCCCAAGCTCTGGAGGTCTCCGCCAGTGTCTCAGTGTTTCCACCCATCAGAGCAGCCCTTCACATTGTCCCAGGGCCTTTCTCAGGGGATTATTCTGCCAGGGACCACCCTGCATCGCTTTTGGGGTGGATAAATACGGATGGAAAGTACAGGAGGGCTTTGCACTAAAGTTAAGATAGATTTAGTTAATACAGATTAGTTAATATAAATAAATAAATCTATGTTAATGAAGTTAATCTAGATTTAGATGTCTTATTTGGTCCCCCTTGGCAGACAGGTGCCCCTTGCCTTTGCAACCTCTGAAGTTTGCAGCCTTTGTTCTTTCTTTCCTGGCACATTTCATGTGATTTTTTTTTTTTGTCCCTATGGAAGAGCCACAAGGATTTCAGGAGGCTGACTGCTTTGGTGGGGATAGGAGCAAGTCAGTGCGTGCAGGTTGCAAGAGGATGACCAAGGCGGGAGCGAGGGCCCCATAGAGAAGTGAAATCTCATGGGGAGCAAGAATAGTGCATGCACGATGAGTAAGTTTCAAAATTAACTCTCTCTGTTCATTTAGCTTTTTTTTTTTCCTAACATACCAAATGCATTTGGTCCACATTATGGGCATATTGTCTGCCAAGTTTTATTTTTAAGTGAAAAGTTACTCAAGAACAGATGCAACAGCTCAGATACGTAAAATTCTGTTTTTCTGTACTCTTATACCATAACTTAAAAACGGATACAACGACTTTAAAAAAATTGTAATAAATTTGCTACTGGATTAAGTTCTTCTTGCCAAGTTTCAAGCTGCACTGAAAAATGTGGTCTTTAATGAGAAGGCTGAGACAGACACACTGTAACTGTGTGAGTTCACGAGCTGGGCTGGAAAAACTAAAAACCAGTATATTTTTCCTTAAAGTTCATAACTGACATTCCTGGAACTCCTCTTGAGATTGTATTTAAATCAGTCCTTAAATATCTTTGTTAACATTTTGAAGTGCTGTGGACTTTGATGAGAACACACCAGCAGCTCTCAGGATATAGTTTTATTCTTTTTACACTTCCAGAGCAGATAAGCAGTAGCCCGCTGATAGAAAGAAAAAGGTCATGTGCACACACTATGTTATTTGGTATATCCTTGCTATATGTGTGTGCACATTCAGGAAGTAATAGGTACAAATAGGCATTTTTTAGCTACAAGATTACAATCCTGTTAATGATTTTCTGATGATGCAGGAATTTTGCCATTCATAAAAAGAACAGATATTTTCAAGTTATCATCCATTCCTGAAATCTGTTTAGAAATAGATGAAATCATCCAAATGATTGTTAGATAGGAAGAGATAAATAACAACATTTTTTTTTTTTTTATGTCTTTTCTCCATAATTTGAGTAACTGGGGTTGCGGTTCTCAGTGCAGTCGTGTAGCAGACCTGTATCTGTCTTCTCAAAAATAGCTGCCATCCATTTTGGTTAAGCAAAATACCCAGGTGTGGCTGACTGTACCACTTACACCTTCCTGAAAGCAGCAAGTGTGTTTTTAAGTCAGATATTGCCACTTAACAGGAGCTCCCCGCTGCAATTTTTTGTTAAGTGAAACAGCTAATTTTTGACACAAAGAGATTGAAGCAGAATTGTAAAGTCCCTGCCAGATGTTTTAGTTAATGAAGACATTTTGAGTAGTATTTCAGAAAGCATGGGGTGAAAACTGATAATTTATTTTTGAGAAATGTTTAGCAAGGTCGCTGTGCTCCTAAGAGCATTGGTGTTGAAGTGAATTCTTTATTGTGTGCTGTCCTGGGAAAGCAACTTCTTGTAGCAGACTGGGAGTCGAAAGCTCACTCACCACGTCTGGTTGACATTATGGGTTGGACCCTGATTTTGGGTATATCAGCGTGTCCAGAGCGATTCCGCTCGCACGGTTCCCGGGATCAGCGTGGCCTGCGTTCCACCAGCCTGTGCCAAATTAAGAGGGTTCGAGCGCAGTGTCCAGTGACAAATCCAAGACCTTGCAGTTTAAACTTTATCAGGAAAACGGGCTGTACAGGTTCCCATTTCAGCCATTAACATGCTTATAAACACGGGACCATGTGCTGCTCTAGCTTCGTGCCACTGGGAAAAATCCCCTGTAAAGATCAAGGACGGGCTTTGTAACCGGCTGTCAGGAGAGCGGCCTCGCCTCGTACCTCTGCAGGGTTATTGCGGGCTCGGGGGAAGCGGCTGCA